TGAAGTTACAGATTTCAAAGATGTCTGTCATTGGACGTCTGCTACAGAGGAAATATAAAAAGTAAATCAGTTTTCTGCTATACATAAAGGTAAGTTAACATTTCTATCAGCTTAAATTGCAAAGTCAATAAGTGTCAATACAATGTTCCTTGATCAATCAAGTAAGTGAATCTTTTTCTTGTAGAAGTCAACAATATATGAAGCTATAGGATTTCACAATGTCACTTGGATTTCGTTACAAGTACTGTTTTAAGTACATTTCTGAATTATGCTAAAATATCAGATCCTTACAGTATTGTTTTAACTTGCGTGCTTAATAATACAAACATTTGATGTAAATTTGAATAATTAAGTAAATACAGAATGGAAAAAGGTTTTGATAAAATATGAGTATGTCATTTTGATATGGTTTATTTTTGCACACAGCATATCAGTTTGATGAAACATACAATAAAATAATTCGAAAATTTGAAGGCATTGGAATATAGCATGATTTCATAATAAAAATAAACAAACAAATATTAATCAAATAAATTACATATATGTTATCACAGTTTTCCGGTATATATAGAAAATATTGAGAGAGGAAAAAAAACATGCCCAATTTGTTAGACTCATGTTGAAAATGAAACACTTTTTTGCTTTCTTGTAACGCATATCAAGACATAATGAATGCACTTGTGAAGTAAATAAAACTATTTAAGACAATTTTTTATTTGTATTGTCTAATGAAAATATGTTTAAATTAGCTGCCATGATCTGTTTTATGATTCTTAAAACAAGGAATCAAGAAGCGTTACTACATGTCATATTGTCATATACATATATGTAATAATCAATGATAATCACAAAAACAACAAAGGTACACATGTAACCAGAATGGAGCAATATTTAATGATACACAGAAAACAGCAGAACTACAAATGTATCCAGAATGATACACAGAATACAGTAGAAATACAAATTGTCTTCTCTCGAACAATTGTTGTGACTTGATAAACCTCAACATCTGTTTAAGTATTTACATTCTATAGATATATAAAATCAACAATAAAAATCGAAATAACAACATTGTACTGTACATAGATATATACAATTTAGAGATTTTTTAAAAATCTTAAGATGACTACAAAAGTTAAATATTATGTTAAAAATGTTTATTTACACATAACATGCTCTACTTCAGACTACTTTGCAGAACTTTTTAAGATCTCTATTTAGATCATTTAATAATATATGTATTAAAGGAATTTCCTAGAAATCTGTTGAAATACAAAAAAACAACATTAAAATATGCTAAAAGTTATAAAAAATTAATTTGATTTTGAAAAACACATCAATTCTAACAATAATCTACAACATAGATTGTGGCATTTCGAGGGCATTTTCTCTCCGCTTACATAATGGTTTGCAAAACAACTGTCGAATAAAATAACTTTTTTTTCAAATTTCCATATAGTTTATGTTTAATTTCATTTAATCTTACAATCAAAATGAGAGTCAAGGGCATCTTCTGAAATGTCATTTACGTTAAATGTAGCTAACACTATATCTCATGGCGCCGTCGTAATTTATAATTCAACAAATCGTCAAACAGCAAAGCACATTAAGCAAAATATGTACAGGTTTATGTTCTCTTTTACACTTTTATACACACATTTTTAATCAAAGTTATCAAACGTGTCAACATATTTACGGAACATAAACATTCAACGAATATATCCAAATTAAATATACATGTATAAGTCTTTGAAGAATATGATATTTCCGATATAAATAGTTACTTTTTGGTGCGACTAATTGGCTCAATGGCAAGAGCTTCGGATTAGTAATCCAATGATCCGCGGGCGAGGAGTAATTTCTTCGTTACCATTAATCTCTAACATTAAGCCAAATGGTCATTTAACTTTAAAAGCTGATTCAGAAAGCATGCGTGATTAGTGGTCGGTACTTTGCGAAGAAATCGGTAAAATCTAAAATGACTATTTAGTTTTCCAGGAATGCCGGTTTGTTGAATCGACCGCCGAGACAAATGTGTTTAAATCGGCGTTACAACTAGACAAGTAAACAAACAAAAAAGCAAAACAAAACAAACTAGAACTATCACTAAATGTGATTAATACGACCCCAAGACTGCTTCGGAAATGAGGAAGTTACATGTAACAGAATACCTTGTAAAAGAATTGAAATAGAGTTATGGTTGTGGGCAATTAAAGATAGTTGTGGTTTTTGCATGTTGCATTTCCTTACAATATGGTTGACCATTCATGAAGTTTTATTGAATTACTCTGTAATAAATCCAGAAAGAGTTACGCTTCTTGATCACTGCACTTCCTCTCATTGCGCTTGACCATTGTATGAAGTTGCATTGAATTCTAAACAGTGATGCGCCGGACAAGGAAAAGGAACAAAGGACAATATCCCTACAAATACTGAAGATGGAGTTATAGTTATTGTACACTGCACTTCCTCTCATTGTGCTTGACCATTATATGAAGTTGTATTGAATTCCAACTACTAGTTTTCAAGTTATGCACTGGACACAAAGTAACAAAGGGCAATAACTGTAATTAGTCAAAATAGAGTTATGCTTCTTCTGCACTGCACTTCATCTCACTGCCCTTGACCATTGTATGAAGTTTCATTGAATTCCAAACATTAATTTTCAAGTTATGCACTGGATATTAAAAAGTAACAAAGGGCAAAAACTCTTAAATGAGCCAAGAAGGAGTTATGGTTTCTGTGCACTGCGCTTCCTCTCAATATACTTGACTATTGAATGAAATTGTATTGAAATCCAAATAGTACTTATCAAGTTATGCTCTAGACAAGAAAAAGCAAAGGAAAACTAACAAAGGGCAGTAACTCAATAATTACTCTAGACAGAGTTATGGTTCTTGTGCACTGCACTTCCTCTTAATGTGCTTGGCGATTGTATGAAGTTGTATTAAATTCCAACTAGTAGTTTTCAAGTTATGCTCCGGACAAGGAAAAGTAACAAAGGACAATAACTCTGTAATAAGTCAAGATGGAGTTATGGTTCTTGTGCACTGCACTTCCTCTCAATGTGCTTGACTATTGTATGAAGTTGTTTTGAATTCCAAGCAGTAGTTTTCAAGTTATGCCCCGGACAAGGAAAAGTAACTAAAGGCAATAACTCTATAATGAGTCATGATGGAGTTATTTTCTTGTGCACTGCACTTCCTCTCAATGTGTTTGACCATCGTATGAAGTAATATTGAATTCCAACCATTAGTCTTCAAGTTATGGTCCGGACAAAAGAAAGCAATGGAAAAGTAATAAAGGGGAAGAACTCTGAAATTACATTAGATAGAGTTTTGATTGTGCATGACAAGGAAAATGCAACTGACGTCTGGACCGACCGACCGACCAACCGGCCGACCGACCAACCGACCACCGGGTGACTCCTATATACCCCCTCAAACTTCGTTTTGGGGGTATAATAAACAAAAGACCCTTTCATTTGAAAATTCCCCAAATTTTTTCTTTTTTTTTCTGTTACTTTTTTCCCTTTGGCGCCGTGACACCCTTTTTCAGGTTTTTTTTTTTTCCCAAAAATTTAAAATTTCGGGGTTTCCCCCTTTGGGGGGGGGAGGTGCGAACCCACATTTACCAGTCGCTTTTGCAGGCTGCTGCTCACGTTTGTGTGTCACTTTGGCAGGCTGCTGCTCACGTTTGTGTTTCACTTTGGCAGGCTGCTGCACACGTTTGCTAGTTTCCTTTGCACTATGTTGCACACATTTGTCAGGCGCCACTTTTGAAGGCTCCTGCCAACATTTTTCAGTCACTTTGGCAGGCTGTTGTACACAATTTCCAGCCACAATTTTTGTATCAAAGTCAGCCTCGGCTACAATTAAATAAAACAGAGTGCAATTTATTTATTATCATTTCAAAATAACAGTAGGTTTTAGTTTTAAAAGAAACGCTACACACACACATAACATAAACTACTAACAATGTAATCGTGCCAAATAATGCTTATTAAGTGATGTTGAAGTTTTATTACTTGATATTTAAGAGTATCCCTTATTAACCACATTTTGTTTTCGAAAACAAAATAACGAAGCATTCATTTATACAGAAAAGCGTGAAAAAATACCTTAAATGAAGAGAAAAAACTTTTTAAAGACAATAATTTCACCTTGACCCCCAGATGCCAGATAAGACTGACAACTTTCCGATGCAGCTTCCTTGGGAAATGAATTTGCAGATTTTGGTTGCGTTTTTAAGTCAGTTTTAACATCAGCCTTTCCCATATCATTTTGAGCATCGCTTGTCATAGTGTCGGCCTCATGCTCCGAGTTTAGACTACTTGGTCCGCCGTCAAAAACAGGCGAACTGCGAGAGGCTGTTTTGCCTAAAACGATATGCAAAATAAAAACATGTTAGACAAATTTCAAAGGGCACTTATTTTGACTCTTCAAAGAAACAAAGTATTTTCAAAGGAATGGCTAAAAATTACAAATTTAATTTGCAAATCAGCCTTTATAATTTACCTGAAAAAAAACTGTACCAGTCGTCTGGGAATTTACGGGTATTTAAAAAACCCAACAAAAAACTTTAAAATACAAAATTAAATAGATATGAAAATCTTTTGAAACTTAATTAAAAGCATATCTTCTTATTTTAAATTTTTTTCCAAAATTGGTCCCTTTTTTCCTCTAAAATAACGCTTTTGGCCCCTTTCATGTAAACCCAAAAGAACAAACGGGGACCACTTTTATTACTCAAAAACTGTACAAGGTAGTAGGTTTTAATCCTAAATGTTTTGCGTTTCCATTTGGGATATTCCCCCTTTTTTAAAATTTTTTCATTAACATTTTATCTAAAGATTTTTTTTCGAAACAAAACCATTTTACAAGATTAAAGCAAATAAAAACAAAAGTTTGCTCATTTAATTCTTTTAATTGTCTTACTAAATAATAAGAAATGAAACTATTTTAAATACAATGTGATATAAATTATATGTATTAAAGTACCTTGTGAATCACAACATGACCTGTGCCATCGACTGTTCCGTCTAATCGTTCTAGTCTATCTTCTACAAAACTTTCTCTCCAAAAGAAATCTGCAAATACTGGTCTCCGAACACGACCCGATGCTTTCTTTTTTCGGTTCATCCACTCCTTTCTAATTGATTCTAAATCAACAATATCATTACCTGGGCTCCCTTTTCCTAAGGCAAAATAGTTCTTTGGTCTGTTTTTGCGGCACTGCTCAGAACTCTTAATGTAGAAGTTTGCATTGTACGCTTCTTCCCAATCTTTGATAAGTTGCTCATAACTTCTCGGACGAGCAAGAACATCTAAGTCTAAGCTTGTTCTAGTCTTCAAAGGCCAATGTAGCATTGCATAATATAGAAATGATTCCAGATAGAGTCTCTTAGATCTCGGAGATGTTGTTTGAATAGAAACCAGCTTTGTACTGTAGGACAGAAGCCGTTTATACTCGTGTCCATTACATGTGTCTGTTTCTTTACTCCCAACTTGACTAGAAAGGTTTATAATTTTGTTACCAAGATAAACAAGCAGATCTCTTTCATCTACAGTTTCAATATCATGACCCTCGAGATTGTTCTTTGCTTCTTCTACACGCTGTTTTAACAATCTTGGCTTTTTCTCTTTGGCCACCATAAGTGGTTTTAAACCGATTCCATATGTGAATTGATATTTTGATGTTTTATCCCGACTGCCGTAAAATCTTTCAAATCTTTCTCTAAGTCTCAACAAAAGTGTTTCATCCTCAGAATATATAGTGTACAACTGCCTTTTGACTTGGTAATTTCTCTCCTCTAGACTTCTCAGTGACGTTTCTAAGTGACTTTGAGAGGGTGTGTCTGATTTAAGATTTTCCAGAGAAGGGCATAATTTCATTAGTTCTAACAATTGGGAATGGTTAAGTTCAAAATTCTTTTCGTTCAAAAAGCTCAAAAACTCCTCACGACTTGTGTAACACTCGAACTTTTCAAACTTTTCAAGTAGAAATAGTGCCGTTTTAACTTCTGTATGAAAACAGCCCCAGTTTGTATCTTCTTCTTGTGAAACAGCAATATCCTGACCTTCCTTAAATTTTTCCATTGCTTGGAAAGCAAGATCTATAATTTTCGCACCATCGTCGTTGGTTATCTTATCTTTATTCATTGTGGCATTTTCTATGAGGAATTCCATTTGTGACTTGAATATTTGCCCATACGTATCAAGCAAATAAGAACCTGTTTGGTCGCTTCTCCAGAGAAAGTTTAATAGCAGATATTGCGTCTGTGAATTCTCTTATGTGAATGTTGAATCTAGCTAACTGTTGACCTACCATTGCATCATCTGTTATGGTAAAACAACGCTGCATCACCCGCAGTACTCTGTGACTGTTCTCTTGCTCAGTGTCATTTTCTTCTTCGTGATCTAGTTCTAAGACCAAATCAGAAAATTTCTCTTTCAAGTCGCCTCTTTCACTTTCCAAGAGCTGTCTTGTTTTAAAAAGACTGCAAACAATTTTTACGAATCGCTTAGACATTGGATTTGATTCTTTGTGTTGTTGTTCTACTAAATCCAGCAAACTATTGACAATATTCTCCAGTGTTAAATTTTCATGAACTTTTATATATTCAAGCACAGTTTTTGCAAGCATCTGTGATATGAGGCAAACACCACTGTTGTAAAAATCACAATCTTCTTTCTTTGTAATCAAAAGACTCATTGCATCTGACATATACATGTTCCATGTTTCATTTCGTAATTGTCTAAGGTTTTGTAATTCTGGTATAGAATGAGCTATACCCCAGGGTTGTCGAAGTCTCATTTCAAGATCAATTTGATCATTCATCATGTAATCGAATACATTTTCTGGTACGGGGTGGTCGCTTTCGAAAGAGCTTATCAATGCAAGAGATTTCAGTACATTTACTTCTCTTTTTGATACCCCCTTCATAATTTCGTCGATTGTTTTCTTCATGTATGATGAATCAAACGATTTTCTCATACAGTTGAAAGCAAGTAATGTCTTGACATCTATGTTGTCTAACTGTTCCATTTCTTTGTGCTTAGACTCAAACCAGTTTTGTTCAGTAGTGCTCAGTTTATGCTTCAACAAAAGCTTTCCTTCTGTTTCGTCATGTGTTATTGGCATTCTGCCAACAATAATTATCAAACAAAACAACCTACCAGGAGATCCAGTCTTGTAGGCAAGCTCATGCAGTTTTGTCTTTAGCAAAATGATACTATCCTCACTTTTATTGTCCGCTAATATAATCAGTGGTTTTGGACATTCTCCATCTTTGAAATTCCGAAACCTGTCTATCTGGTTAATAGTTTCCTCAGTGATACTTGTATTTCTGATAGCACAGCAACGATAAGCCTTTTCTGGTGTTTGCTTGAATTGACTATAGTACCAAAGTAAATGCCTACCAAGTGTACTTCCACCAGCACCAGGATGGTGCTCAATATCATGGATTTCTATCAAAGCTTCTCCTTTATTCCCAAGAAGTTTATCATTTATCTCAGTTTTATGACGGTCAAAGAGATCTCTTTTTGCAACATGAGACTTGTAATAAAAGTTCCACCAAGTGACTTCACCACCCCGATAAAATCGTTCCTGTGTATCATTTCTGTTAGCCTTTCGCTCATGGTCAGACATTTTTATTTCTTGCTCAAAACATTCTTCTCCACCTAGTATATCAAGTTCTGTGAATTTTAACTCTTCTCTCTCCATATTCGTCATTTCTGCATAGTGCCCGTCACATCTTGGTAATTTACAAACAACATCTGGATTCCTTCTACAAACACTATTCATGACATTTGAAATCTGATCCCAAGACAAGCCTGTGTGGAAAGATTTCTCAATCTTGTTTGCACCTATTGTGTCCATCAACTCTTTCTTTAAATTTGCGACAACATCCTTATCTTCAGCGATGACTATACACTGGTTTCTGAAAGATGAAACAAATGCCATTCTTGCAATTTCATGCAATGGATCCCTTCTACCCTCATTATCTTGGAACATTAGAAAAACAACTTTCGCCCTTGTCTTAGGGATAAGTTTTTTCATAACGTCTAGTGCATTTTGAACTCCATCAGACCTTGCTTCTAACCAGTCTTCCAAAGCCATAGTTTCTTTTGACAATTCTTCATTTCCATTACAATATACCCATGTTGGGCTTGTATGAGAAATATCAGCTTGATGTATTAAGTCCTCTGCTGTTTTTACAGTGTAAAGCATTTTGTCATCCTCAACTTTATTACGTAGCTGAACAGAACTATCACAGTCTAATACTAATTTTGCTGAAGTAAACGCACGTGTCATGTCCACTATGTTTTTTAAATAATTTTCATTTGGTGACCCAGTTATCTTGCCTGAAACAATTATTGGGATGAATTCGTCTGTGATGTACTTATTACCACCAGTAAGCATTTTTACCAGATCTTTCTTCAGAACGATTTGATTGTCTCCTTTTCTATCATTTTCCTCTTCCATAACAACCCGCTCCTTCAAAACTTTGGAATACATTTCTTCAACTTGCTGCACCTTACTTGGAGCAATCGGTAATATTTGGCAATCTGGTTTGATATCATAAACAAAGCACTGTCTGTGTTGAAATCCCTTTGGGGGGAAATCAATAGTTAGCAACTTAGGGCCTATGTGCTGAGAATATGGACACACATCAGCTTCAATTACAACTTGATCGTCGTCTTCTACTGGAACTATTTGTAATGGACGCAAACATCTGAATGCAATAGAAGAATGCTCCTTGAAACAAGCTTCAACTGATGTAGCTATTTCATGATTCAAACGGTCAATATATTTGTCATTTGCTACTAACCCGACTACAAGACCTGTCTGGCATAATGTGGGTTTAATTCCAAAATGTATTGTCCCATTCTTACGTCCATTGATGCAAGCAAGTATAAACCTCACTATTTCTTTCGCAACATAGTATGGCGAATACATGTTGTTAGTTGAAAGCCATCTAAATTCATGTTTGGGAATAAGAAGATTACCTGTCATAGGTCGGAAATGGCATTTTCTGTAAGTCAATTTTCCACACGATGTATCAAATGGTCGCAAAGAACCAATATTTTCGGAATGGTTTGTGTCTTTTTCATTTGTAATTTGTCGTTGAATTGAAAACAATTCCTTCCGCAGACCAATACCAAATTTAATATGCCCTAGATATAACTCAAATGTATCTTTCATTTCTTCTTTTGTCATATCAACAAATGCTCGTGGCGATATACTTTCATCAATAAACGCCTTTTTGAAAGGTTCGTATAAAGACAAGCTTACCTTCGATAAAGTTTCAGCCACAAAATTTGCAAACTCTTCGCACGGCATACCAGAAATATTTGTCTCTTTTGTAGTTTCTTAAATTATAAAGTAGATTAAGTTTACTTTTTCGGTTATTTCAGTCGTATTTGAAAATTGTCTACATGAAACTTGAAAACAAAGATCATCGAGAAAGGCTGGCAGTCATTAAATGCATCTGCAAACAAAACCAAGCTACACACGACACTGGCAAGGGGCCAAGCAGGACACAAAACAAAAACAGGAGAGGGCATAAGAGCAAAGAACGGACGGGCCGTTATTTTAAAGTGTGAGTGGTTTCATCTTATATTACTTTTAAATAGATTAGGCGTTTTCGATGATCAAACATATCACTTTTCTAAAACCATGTCTTAGATTTATCAAACTTGGGAGGAAACCGTACTTAATCTACAAATTTCGTGCTTACCTCTTTGTATCATCGTTCCGACTTTGCATTCTTCTGTCTTCCATGTTAATCCGGCAAAGCTTTAAAGATAAGATTTTATATCATTACATTTTATATAACAAAATTTAATCTATTTCTTTTTTCCCATATGACTATAAATATCTTAAAATCTTAATTATATATTTACTATAGAGTAGCACTCGAGTTACCTTTAAAGTGACAGAAGACACATTTTTATTATTATTTGCTGTGTTAAATTCAGTGTGAATTGTTAGTTCAAAATTTCTTTTTTATTTAGTTTCGCCTATTGTTTGCTCGTTAGGGGCACATGCATTTTTATTTAGGGACCATACGTCACTTTTCATGGAATGGAAGGTAAGAATGTGTCACATTTAAAGTTCAATGATAACCTCTGTATGAACACATCTGCGGATGTTTCCCAATTCAAAATTTCACCATGTTTATACTAAATATTGATTTCCGGTGCTGGGTACCTATACTGTGGTTTGCACTATCAAGTACCGTCCATTAACAGGCTCAATATAAAACGAGCCTACAACATATTCAATTAAGTCGTTTTGGTCCTTCTTTAAGGATTCTTTTTATTGTTGTCTATTTTAGTAAAGGCTATTGCAAAGAAACAATCGGATAATTAAGAAACGATTTCTAAACTGCTCACGACACTAATAATAAAATGTTTACCTATCATCATTCTCTAGGTGCCTTGCAGTCGTAAAACATTTCAAAACGCAGTTACTTATCATCTTAAAATCTAGTGTCACATCCATCCTCTTTTCTAAACAAATATGAATTTGATCCGTTAACACAGAATTGCCAGTAGCTTCTGTAAATGTCTCTTTTAAGATCCGAATCACATTTTCTTCTTCATATTGCTGCAGGTACTTTTCTGTGGAATAAAATGAACACAACTTTAATGGTTTCATATATGTTAAAGATGAAATTATTACAAAATCAACGATATAAAAGTTATACTTCTTTTAGAAATGTGTAAGCCCTACCAACTTCATTTCCATCTGTGTTAGTATCTTCTATTAGATCGGCGAGCTGCGGTGATAAATTTCTCAAACATCGGCACATTTTGCACAGGTTAAATTTCGTTTCATTAATCATGTGTAAGATAAGTACACGCATTTGTTCTTCGTATGTGTATTCTTGCTCAATTTTGCGTTTCATCGTATCGTTTATAACTTCTTCGTTCTTCAACATACGGATGAAAATACCAACATCTAAACCCCTTGATAGTTGCCTCACCCATTTCGTCAAGCCGATTTTCATCTGAATTGTTCCGTCTGCATCAACTGAAAAAAAATGTATTTGATTTTTGAACACTTACACCCGAATGAATCGTTATACGTTTAATCATTCAGAATAATTTTTATTAATCGTTGTTTTTTTTTTTTTTGTTTTTTTTTGTAAAATGCGATTTAATTTACATGCCTTACCTTAAGTGAGAGATATTTATCAACTTAAACATATTTTTCCAACATATGGTAAACCTTAAGTAGCGAACAAATCCTGAGTTTACGCGAATCATGTTATATAATTCATCTTTTGCACCTATGACGGATTTATTTCCAATTATAAACAAGGCAGATTTGAAAATCGTGACTATACAAATCTATGGTGGCTGATTTATACAATTCGTGTTTTCGCCCCGCGACCCAGCTGAGCCAAAAGTCGAAAATTAACAAGATAAAATGGCGGGGGCGGAGCGAAAACACGCTTATAAGCGGGGCACGGGGTGAAGTTTAATAAATTAAATTTTGCCCCTTCGGGGCGCGCAGAAAGATTTAAGGAATAAAACTGCGGGGCGCAGAGCAAAAACACGCTAATTACGCCCCGCGTGTTTTCGCTCAGCCCCCGCCATTTTTAGTTGTAAATTCTCGACTATTCTCTTGGCAGGGTCGCGGGACGAAAACACACTTATTAGTGGGGCGCGGGGCGAAGTTTTTTATTTAAATTCGCGCCGCGACCCCGCTAATTGGCGTGTTTTTGCTCTGCGATCCCTCTGTTTTACTTCTTTAATCTCGCTCCGTGCGTCCACGGGTGAATTTTATTTATTAAACTTCGTACCGCGCCCCAGCTAATTAGCATGTTTCGCTCCGCACCCCGCCATTTTAATTTGTAAATTCTCGACTTTTGGCTAAGTGGGGGTCGCAGGACGAAAACACGAATGGCACAAATCAGCCACCATAGAAATCCGTTCACAAAAACTAATAGATTCATTGCTAAAGTTGCTTATTTTCAATAAAAACTTACCCCTTTCTGATCCTTGTGATTCAACAAGCTTAATAAGGAAATATTCATTGTTAATCTTAACGCGTTCTATATTACTGCAACAGTTGACAAGTTCTCTGTTTTTCAGTTCGTTTATGCATTTGATTAACGCAAATGCATACTCCTTTATATTTGTCACCTCTTTTGCAAGACCTACAATGTTCTGAAATGAGTCCTTGAAAAGAACAGCGTCATCTAACTCAGCTTTTACTGAATGAGCCAGTTTGTTTCGATTTTCCCGCAAAGCTGTAACTAACCTTTTAGCTTCCTTTGTTAACTGTGTAGGAAAAGTGTTTAAAATAAGAACTGTCAATACTGACACGTCCATAAGATCAAGACTGGGAACGCAGCGTGTTAAAGTTTTCAGTACATAGGTGCTTAAACTGTTCTACTTTTATCTTGACAAATTCCTCGTTTAAATGCTGTTTCAAAGTCACGCCTTTTTTGTCGAGATATGATTTTATCAAATCTCTCATTGTATCGGAACCTATACTCATATTAAGTTCCATAGCTCTGTTGAAATGTTGTCGCTTCTCCATATTGACGAGTGTAGTTTTAGCACTTTGAACTATATGTGACATTGTTGATTTAAATGTTTACAACCTCTTGAATATGACTCGGTTAACTTCTTCAATGTCATCGTTATCCATTTTATCCCAAAAATGATAATGCATAACATGAAATAAAAAACATTTATGAACAAAGATAGAAGTAAAAAGACGTTTCTCGATACTGCATTATAAATAACTGGTAAAAAAAATCCTAAGGAAATCACCGCGGTTATAATCTAAAATTAGCTGTTTTGGTAAATCCACTGCTAACCTATTTTTAGAAATGTGTCTACAAATAGAACACGAAAATTGATAAGTTAACAACACCATAGATGAATGATTATATTATGTTAACAAATTTGATAAATGAAATGTAAATCTGTCCTAAAAAGTTAACTTATTTAATTGCAAGTCTATGTTTGTATCTTTTCTTACCTTTGAAGTCCATGTTTTTAGGTCAAACATATCCGATTTCTTTATCCGAATTTCTTTTACGTTTAAAAATTTCCCCCCTTCCTAAAAAAAAAGAAATTTTCCCATGTCCAAAATTAATCCCCTTTCCGGTTTTAATTTTTTCCCCGTTTTTTATTGGGGGGGCTTTAACTTTTTTAAAATTGTTTAAACCAAAATTTTAAAGACCTTTCTTTTTAAAAAACGTTACTGAAAAATGAAATGATCAATGTATCAGGGGAAAATTTGTTTACAATTTTCCGAAAATCTGCACGATCGGAAAATCTCGGCTATTATCGTCAGTTCATATATACAGTTAAACGTTTAACTTGCAGTGTGAAACAAAAATAGATCATATGCCATTATCAAAAAAGGAGGAAGTTTTATTTAAAGACAATATATTACAAGTAGAGTTTTTGATGCTAAAGCATCAAGTCGCCGGATAGAAATATGATTGTATTATCATAAATTAAAGAAAATATCAGTGAAATGGTTCGAGTATAAAGAAAAGAGGAACAATAAGTTGAGTAATGTTTATTCATAAACATGTTTTCATGAACTTGCCACAATTAAATATTTCTTGCTTTAAACTTTGTAAAAGAGTTTATGCAATAGATTTATGTTATGATATAATAAAACATCATATTTGAAGCAAACTTGCTTAGCTATTTTGTCAAGAAACTGTTATCATTATTAAATAAGCAAAGTATTGTTTGACCCGAGACTCATTAATTTTTGGGAGGTGTTTCGTTAGTTTTCATAACTTATTATGATTAATGTTAACGATTTTATTGTAAGTATAATTACATGTATATATCAATTAATACTGCTCGATGGCCTAGTGGTAAGTATGACGAAATTGTAACCTAGTAGGCGCAAGTTCGAATCTTGGACAAATTCTGTTTGTAGTTTTCATAATTTGATTTTTATTATAGCTTTTAACTATATGAAACACAAGTTGATAAATCGTGTGTTTCATTTCTAGCACTTTTTTATTTCATAATTGTGATAAATGGTCAAGTTTTGCAAAATACAAAAAATATCATAAAAGAAAACATTAAAAAATCACTTTATCGAACCTACAGTCTTCAATTTGAAACTAACTGAAAATCTAACACCTTGTCATCGAGGCTTGTAAAGCAAATGATATGCTTGTAATTCTACTTGTTATTCTACTTTATACATATACCGTTGTACCATACATTGAAATCCGTATGGTTTACTTCAGAATCCGATAAATACCGACAAATAATTACTGATCATCGAATATTTGCAAAGTGACTATGAAAATATATATGCTTAATTTTTGCATAAAACAATGCAATTCTACTGTAAAAAGTGGTATCCGCATAAAAAATTATTCTTATGCGCTATCGAAAAAATATATAACTTAGTTGAAATCAATATTCTCGTCGTAGTTATTAATTGTCTTTCAGTGCGATAAACTATCAACACAAAGATAGTTTATTAGTTTTCTCTGTGTATCCAATACGATTCCGGTCCCCTACCGTCATACCGAGATTTTGTAATTATTCATACAAAATTACTTTGATTTGCACTTTATCAGCTTCTACACCTTGTGCCTTACCTGTATGTCTGTCTTATCAGCCATCTGTTACTATTAATAGATTTTATAACAATAACATACAACGTGTAGTCACGTGATTCTCACAAAGAAACAGGGAGAAATAGTTTATAACTAAATAAAATAATAAAATAGAATAGGTCTCATAAGAAATAAACAACCAGATAATTTAAAGTTTTATTTCAAATATCATGCATGATTTATTTATCATAAAATAGCAACGATTTGACACTTTGAAATAAGTAAAAGTATCCCTAAATTCAATGACTTATCCTTAGGGATACATCATTAATTCATTTTATAAAAATTTGTAATGTTGCTTTTTAAGATGTCAATATTTGAATATTTCATTTCATTGAGCAACGTTATTGTATGTTTGAATTTTTGAGATTACTGAAAACAATGGTAGTCTTTAAATGTTCAGTAATTGATTTGCTTTTATTTACAGATTTTAAGGCCTTCTCCTACCATAGCTATAATATTAAACTGTTACAAATATAGTCGCCGGTTTCTACCGGCGACTAATAACCGTTTAGAGATTTATTACAGGTTACAACAGTATCATGTGTAAATGTCTCCCTTCGCAAATTAATTAACATTTACATTTAAGAATGGTATGCGTATATAAAATGTATATAAAAACCTCAGAAATATATCCCAAAGAAATGACAACGATCTATATCAATTCTAATAAAATCCCAAGCATTCATTTAATGTAGAACTATTTTCAGCGTGAGATGCTGTTATGGAAGTATAATCAAGTTAAATTATTCAGCTTCTGTGTTCCCATCACCAAAATGGACAGAACATTCAAATTATATAAATGATTATTTGTGTTCCCTGTTTTGGACTTCATGGATAAAATGGCGGTATACTCACAATATGCATCAACACGTGTTGAGCTGAAACAGTTTGGGATGCATTGAAGAAAAACAAAATTAGAAAACAAGTTCAGATTTTAATCTTACGGACGGTGTTTGTAAGAAACACTAAATATTACACAATTCCGGTTTCTACTTGAAACATCATTTCACGCCGCCAATGTGCAAATATATACTTACTTGATGGATTATGATGAAAAATAAAATAATTAAGATTCACATGATCTTAAGAATGGCAAATGATGACATATTGTTTGTTCTATATGTCATTCTGATAACTAAAAGAAGTTCAAAAACACCAATATATTAGAAAAAAATAATATTCCATATTCATTTTGAAAATAAAAAAAATACACAATTCTTTCTCATAAGTTCGAATGATCATAATTATTATTTTGGACATAAAAAAGAAACGTTCTTTTTATAAAAATTCTCAGAATAAATTCTAATAAGACCATCGTAAGTCATCTTTTCTCTGGAGTCCTTACAAGAAAAGGTATCATTATCATTTTGTATCTGTATGCCAGGAACCAATTGTTAAAATATTTTTTAAAAACACAACTTATCAGATAAAATGATCCCTTGAAAGCAATGAAAACAAGACATATGGTTGAATGTAGCTGTCTCAGTTATGTTCTTTTCTATACTGTACATGAAAGTGTAAACTCTTTCATCCATACAGCATCGGCTTGCGATATTCAATATTCAACTTTTAGTATAGGTATCAATATTCCCAGCGGACCGGAAACTGAAAAAAACACTGAAATTAAATGACGACACTGAGGTTTATTTGACATGACGGGACTAAAAATAATTTTCGAGACGAATTTTCCATTTGATCTGGATCTACACAAACACGTTGTGTGTTAAATTTCAAATCATTGAATTTTGCTCACTATGTTATTCCAGAATAATTATTCAAATTGTGGAAAATGACCCAAAAATGAAAAGCGTTGCAATGTTTTTGACTCAAATCTGGCAAAGAAGAGCACAAAAATATGACTTTCAGTATATTTTTTTACTATCTCTTGCAAATCTCTCTGTTTTAAGAGATCCAGCTGATCTATGTTAGATATTCAAACTTTATGTTTTATGTTTTTAGACTTCCTCGGAGTAAAACTAAGTAAGTCACCAACTAAAAAAATAATCTGACATAAAATTTCTGGGATTGGTCTAAACATCATGTGGTAAAAACAATATTAAAATGCTTTGTCACATTATATTCATACGAGAATTTGTTTTGATATTCTACTACAACTAGGGAGTATAATAAACACCTATTTGTGAGATAGAAAATTGATATGACCTGCACTGTAACCGGAGGAAGTTGTGACAATTAAATTTACTGTCGCACCGTTTTAATTTCACCTTTTTCGCTTAATTCTCATGCGAAAATAATTGAATTGAGTATTGTTTTTCTGTTAAAATTTTATAGCTTGATCAGGAATGACTGTCAGAAGAATAACCAACACTGAAATGATATGTCGGTACAGCTTAAGTAATCAAGGGACGTAAATATCTTTGAAAATGATAGGCAGAGACCAGACTATCATCGAGAAATCAGGAGTTCCTGAATCATGAAGTATCAAAAGCACTTTGCTAGTCACTACCATGGATATTTTCATGGCGCTGAATAATAAACACATGGGTTAATTCTCCACACCAAAATGTCACTGAGTCAATTCTTCAACACAACGTTGAGAATTAATCCCAGGCCTGCCAAAAGTCATTGAAAACTGGTCAAAAAGAGTATGAATAATAAATAATCAAATGGTTTTTTATTGACTGAAATGAATAAGAACAAATAACATGTACACTCTTTATTCAGCTTTCAATTGACGATACTAATATGACCTTAAGTTTGAAATAAA